CCTAACAGAAAACCTTCAGCCGGATCACACATGGGAGAAACACTTCAAATCAATATGGACGCTTTTAGAAGGGAAGAACTGACCGACGTACTCAAACAATTGTGGGTTGGGAAGGCTGCCGGAGTTGATGACATACCTCCTGAATTCTGGAGGCATTGGAATTCACCGAAGTAGGAACGTATCCAGGCGTGCCTTTCCACGGCGTCGGCGACTATTGTGAAAACTGTGGCTGTTCGCGTTTTGGACTTCACCATGTTCAAACATCCAGGAAACGCAAGAAACATTTTGTCTGTTCTAAGTGCCGAGCTGCTTCGTCCAGACTGTCGTGCTGCGCAAGGGCGTAGAGTACCGGCATTAGAAGAGCAACCTGATTACACTCCTTTCCCCTGGACTAATCGTGTGCGCGGTCCCATCGGAACCTTCCCAGAAGAATCGAGATTCGGTTGAATAAAACTTTTGGATAAAGACGAAAAATGTGGTATAATCGGCATTTTAAACAATCCGCAAGAACGTTGATCGTTCCACATGATCGAAAGCCCCAACCGTCCAAACCGATCCCGGAAATACTCGAGATTTGCGTATATGGCGTCGCACGTGTCCTGTTTGCCTGCAGCCAGAATTGAAGCCCACTTGTGCCGTTGATGCCCATCTCGGACATGCAATGCCGAATGCTGCTAAAGGCTTGCACCACCAAGGCCCCTGTCGCCATATCTTGGAACGTAGGGAATCCTTCTATGAAACATTGCACCAATGCCAAAATCCACCCAGCCAACTCCAAATCTCCGTCATCGGCAACTGCCAACCTAAATATTGGTATGTCGAATGCCGACCATCGATGGTGTTCAACCAGCCGGTCGAAAATTTGATAGGACCGCCTGGGATGGAATCGGAAGAATTTGGTATATGCTTGGCGTGCGGCCGACGGAGGCCATATGATCTCGAAATCTGAATCTGCATCATCTGGTTCGCAGCGGCGTCGAGGGGCGGAAACATTGGCGGATGGGGGGGGACCATACTGTTGGGGCGACCCAGTGGGAGTAGGCATACCGGTCACGGGAGTCCCTGGTCAGCTGGCAGCCAAGGTGGAGCAATAAGGGCTGGGGCAGCGTTGCGTCCGTCGTCGTGTCTGCCCTGGAGACGGGAATGGGGCGGTGGGGGTTCGTAGTCTGCTTTTCCTGGCGTCAGGGGTTCAGCACCAGGCTCCATGGTGTCTGCCGGTGGGTCCTGCACGGGAGGTTGGAGAGCGGGGATTGGGGGCAAGAGTAGGTGTGGAACCATTGTTGCGGTGGAGCTTGGAATTGTTCGGGCTGCTCCAGGGCCAAAGGTTTTGCTTTAACTACCAATATGGAGATCTACCTCACTGCCTGGTGATAGCCGAATAGGCTGGCAGTGCATGCGACGACACTGGCTGGACGGAGCGACCAACGTGGGATAACATTGCCGCGGGGACAAGACCTCCGGACCCCCCAGAAGACCCCATGGGCCTTGGCGAGTGAGTCGTGGCTGGCAATTTCACTCTTCGATTGCGTTGGACAGCATAATAGAACACCCTCCTGCAAACCATAGGAGGTGGCAGGAGCCCGCAGAAATGGAGCTACTGTTGGCAAACATCGACTCTACCCTTGCAGGGGCCCGTACGCTTCTGCATGGTTGACAATTTGCCCCGCAACCGAAAACCTGAAAATAGACAATGCATACATATCCTGGTCAATCCGACGCCAGCTCTGCATCGCTGTGGGGTATACTGGGGGAGACCAACAAAGCCACTCAACACTGACTACCAACTTGGGCGGCATGTTGAATTCCAGGCACACGTGGCTACTTACCGTACGCGTCAAATCTTAACCGAGGCTGGAGGTACGATCCCTGACAGAAACGTAACGTGGAGAGGTTACTGCGGCATACACACATCCCAATACTTACCACCACAAGACGATCGTCGATTGGATCTAGTGGTGCCAGGATTAAGTATCGAGCGCGACCTCCCAGTGTTCTGCGATGTCACCGTCGTCTCCTTATCAGTGGCAATGGGGCAAACCAGGGACCAGCAACAGAGGAGGATAGTTACTACAAACAACGGAGAGAGACAATACCAATACGTACTGGGCCGTTGTTTCAACAGGCTTGGGCTCTTTACACTGCCTCGGGTGTGAATGATAAGGAAGATGGGAAAATCAAAATGTGGCCCTCATGCCCGCCCTGGCACGCGAATGGTGTAGAAGCTTACATGTGCGAATACGCCGGGATGCCCCTATGGGGCTCCTACAGAGGTGGTGGGGCATGCTGGGGATCACATTGCAACGCGCGGTGGCACATACAATGTAGCACGATACACCAGGCGTAAACGACGCCAATATGCTGACCTTCCCACCACGAACCTGCAACTCGACGAACTTGAAGAAGACTAGTCACGCGGGCGCTTCTGTGTCCCCCTCCGCCTTCTCTTCCTCCTCCTCCCTCGCTGCTCAGTGTGCTTGCGGCGCCCGCTGTTTCGCCCGCGCTCGGTTTTCGAGTGCTCGAGCCACTTTCTCCTCGGACCATTGACCTCGGAGATGCCATGAACATCGAAATCTATGGCCTACATGTTTCAGCAAAAGATACATTCAGACGATTGGTGGCGAAAACATCTGAGCAATAATAACACGATACTTCCGCACATATGCACCCACACATTTTCTCTGACATCTCACCGACGTGGACTTGGACAAACTAGGACTCAATGTAGACAACGTCGGGATATTCGACCATGTGTTTTGCACCCGCGTATTTGAACAATTGATGGCTCATGGGTTTTTACATGAATTCGGGCCCGTCGTGCATACGCCGTGCTGTTCATGTGCAAATGGAAGGGCAGCACAAGTATTACACACGATTTTGCACGGCGACACTGGGGATCAAACGGACGCTCTCATGCCCGTGTTGTTTCGCGTAATCTTCGGCAGACAAAAGCGAAAGATAACTGATCGCAGGCAACTATTTTTTTACATTTCCCCCTCCTTCTGCAACAGCAGCAACCACGATTCGCCTGCGCACGAGTTCTCCTGCGCCACTGTGCGATATGCCCCAAACGCCAAGCAGCACACGAAAGCCAATAGGTGCCCATTATGCGAAAACCCGGATGCCTTGCATGCATGCTGGGAAACCTTGCGCGCTTGACTCGCCCAATGCTGATGGGAGCGGTTCTTCGCCAGCGTGTCACGTCTATCCTATGTGAGCTGCGTGATTTACTATTTGTAATCGTCGCGCAGAACTCGTTGGCGCGTCTAAAAAACAAATCTCTCCTGCGCGCCTGCTCGACTCGGCCAGGGGAGAAGGACGAAGGGAGGAGGAGTCGGGAAAGGAATCCGAACGAATGGGGGGGCAGGACATTGAAGAGGACAGGGAAGAACAAGCGTTCACAACTCGAATCTCGGACGGCATGCTGGCGAACAACATCCAAGGAGAGGAAGAGGAGAAAATCGAGTAACAACAAGCCCGTTATCCCCCAAATTCTGGGCTCCAAGATGCGGTTCTTGAAATTGTCCGGCCCGTTTCGCGTGAGACATTCGGAGCCTGGGGCTTCGAGACGATGGAATTCGAGAAATCCCGCATGGACCTCCTAGGGTTGCACAGGATCTTCCGCCATCTTTACAGCATAACCACTTCCCTGGGTCGGCCACCTGGCGAGCTCGGCCTGTGGAAATGCTGTGCGGGGCTGCGTGGAGGCATCTGAAGGACGTGCAAAAATGCCGGGGCTGACCAGGCAGGGAGCGGTCCCGATTCACCAGGAACTCGTGCCCGTCGTACACAGTGGTACGCCGTGCTGTTCATGTGCAAGTGGAGGGGCAGCACAGGTACTACACACACACGGTTTTGCAGGGCGACGACGGGGAACAAGGGAACGCATTCATGCCCGTACTGTTCTGCGCAATCATCGGGAAATGTAAGCGAATGACGACTGTCGCACAATCCAACAGCGGTGGATGAATGGGATGTGCTGTTGGCATCAAGTCGGCATCATTATGAACGAGAACATAATATACACGCGTGCGCCAAAACACGCGATGGCTACGACACAACATACAGAATAGAGAGTTACATAGAAATGCTGCACCTGTGGAGAGCTGGGATCTCAACCGTACAGTCTTGGCGCTCGAGCCACCCAGCATTACTTCAGACATGGACGCCGCTCTGACCCAAATCCAGGGCCCGATCCCACGACCAGAGAGGCCCTCCGCACAAGCACGCTTTCGGCCCAGCGCAACCAGTTGTATCATTGGACAGGGCTGTGATTGCAATGGCTCTCCTGACGGCTCAATAGGGCCTTCGCAATGCGTTTGGGGCGCCTGGTGCGAATGCTAGAGATTATAGCGTCAACAAAAAAACCCAGGACACATTACGACGGCCATGCGAATTCCAGTACTGATTGTATCGAACCAATCTGATCGCGCAATCAAGCGGGCTCTGCGAACACCTCGAAACGCCAGACAACGCGCGAGGCGGCCGCGAAGAGGTCACGGGCGCCCACTGCGCGAACACACGCAAACGCCAGCCAGTGCGCGGGGCGGCCACGAGGCGGTACCAAGCAATGGGCACTCGGAGCGTCCACTGCCACTGGGCGAAGTGCCGGAAACGCCAGGCAGCGCACGAAAGCCAATGGGCGCCCACTGCGCGAAAACTCGGGGGTTCCAGGCAACCAGGGAATGCCAACAAAATGCCTCACACCGAAATATAAGAACTCCTTCGTGCAAACACTGTTTGAAGAACTTACACACTACGCCTTTTACGCACCGGGGAACATATAATTCGCTCTCATGTTTCGAACAAACACCGGTTTGGCAATTGATTCTACAACGTGTCATCCACACTTACCGCCTCTTTCTCAGCGCCTCCTCGCACTCTTCTTGGCAAGTGCGTCCAGGATGGGTGTTTCCCCATCCGCTTGTGCACGCAAGCCAGAATAAACAACCTAGGCAAACTTCACCACCAATAGCGCGGCATGAACCTACAGACTGGGGCTGCTAAGATGCGGCTGAAAGGAATGATGCAATGCTGTCAACGTACACATCTGGAGATATAGTATTGTTCGGGCTCAAGAGCTGTTCTTCAGACGTGACACCGCTCAGGGTCAGGCAGGTTTGGAGGCCATTGCCAGTACCGAACAAGATATCTGTATCCAACCTACCACAACGATTGTGCGACACCGGTAATCAAATACGACAAATTGTCCATGGCGCAGCACGGGCGTTGCGATGATCTGTATGCTCCAATTACGAAACATGACGCACGCTCTGGCGCATGCCTCTTCCCCACCTTGTTTTGCTGTCGGCCTGCGCGCTGTAAGCACGTCGACGGCTACGCACATTCACTCAGTAGACACTAGGTGCACAGCAGTGCGAAGAGCCAGCCCTGGAAAGTATAGACACTATCTCCCCCGATTCTCGCCCACGAGCAACCAGTAACCGAATGTCCCCGATAAAAATGTACCCCCTTTTCTCCCTTTTTTTACGCCGTGTCAATAATACTTAATGGTAGAGGGGGGCGCGGAGGCCGAACTTGATACCCCCCCGGGGGAAATTGCGAATCGAAATTGCTATCATCTCCTGTTGACAAGCAACATTACCAAAAACGCTGAACATGGCCATGGTGGTCTCACCATTTCAGCTTCCGCAATCACGAGCGCGTGGCAGGGCAATGGGATTCTCAACATTTCAATTTTCCCAAGTCACGAACGCGCGGCAGGGCCATGGGCTTCTCACTTGCCAAGCCGTTCCCTACTCAGGAACGTGTGGCAAAGCCATGGGGACCGATGGGATTTTGAAGTTGCATACGTTTTTTCGGGCAGGCAAGGCGCTGTAATTATTTATTTAGCGCATCCCTCACACGGTTCGTGGCCCTTCCTCCTCCTCGTCGTCCTCCACCTCTCCCCCCGCAACTGCCCAGGCCAGAGCTTCCCCGAGTCTCCGAGACTCCAAGCTTTCGAGCCTCTTCGAGGCACCGAGCTGCACCTCCCCCAGGGGCAACGATAGGGGGGGATAAAGCATAAAGGGGCGCATCGGTCCCCAATCGCCCATTGATCGCAGACAGTGATTCGACAGCCCGAACCTGCCCGGGAACGCGCGGATTCACAATCGGGCGCCCATCGCCGATGCATCTGCGATGTATCGCCGATTCCAAGTCGATGTTTCCCCCCCCAGTGCCTATCCCCCCCGCATTGTTGCCCCTGGGTGCGTCGCGAGCCTCAGCCATGTCCCAGGCCGCCGAGCGCGCCCAGGCGGCGATCCAGCCCGTCGCGGCCCTGCAAGGGGTCGCAAACCCAAGCTCGAACGAGATTCTCGAGCGCATGGCCAAGCAGAACGAGAAGATCCTCGACGAGCTGTCCTTCATCGCGGACAAGATCTCTATGGCCGAGATGCGCCTATGCCAATCGAGCGCGCGAGGCGCTGACGCGGCAAGAATGGCGGCCTGCTTTTTCAAAGTGGACAGCGCCTTGTGGTCGGTGAGCGCCCGGCAAGCCGTTCTCGAGATGGTCTGCGACGGAAGGGCATCCAGTGCGGGCGCATCTTCAACGAGAAGGACAAGAGGCGCGTCGAGCTGGCGGTGGCGTTGGTCTACAAGACCTACTGCGAGAAAGACGCCCGCCTCTGCGACATCTCCGAGAATCGCGGAGAGCCGCCCGGGAACCTTTTTCGGGCTCATGCCGAGCTTCAAGTCGAAGATGCTCGAGCTTGCCGAGAAGAAGGACATCGAGCTCGGCGCCGAGAACGTCCGGCGCCTCAGCTTCGGCTCCTACACCGAGCGCGTCGGCAAGGCCCTCCCCGACGCCCCCTCCGACCTCCTCCACCTCCACGACCCCGTCGAGAAATCCGAACCCGTCGAGAAGCGGGGCGGCGAGTTCTCATCCGGCGTGAAAGCCGATCAGCTCTTCGAGATGACCCCCACAAGGCCAAGCAGTTCGTCAGCTGGTGCCGCCAGAACGGCGTGGTGCAGGGCGTTGACCGCGCGCGAGCCACCGCGCAAGCGGTCGTCAAGTGGTGCTGGAGCCTCAGGCGCACTGCCGACATGGCCTGCGAGCTCCAGGAGCGGAACTACCAGGGCAATCGCTCCAAGCATGACTACGCAAGCGCCGAGAGGCAGCTCGACTTCGAAACAATGGCTCTCAACCAGCGCATCAAGATGAAATTCGATAGGTCGCCCAAATCCGCGCCGACTACGACAAGATGACCAACTAGCGCCAGCCCGAGAAGAGCCAGGCTGACGCGAAGGCCGAGCCAGAGGCCGACAAGTCGACGCCGAAGGACGCCTGAGAGCCGAGCGGCGGCGAGCGGCGAGCGCCTGGCGCACGAGCGCCCCGAGCCAAGCGCTCCCATGCTTTTCGCTGCGAGGGTGCCGCGCGAGCGTCTCGAGGCGCGCCCTCGAGCCCTAACTGCTTTCGCGCTCCAAGCGAGCATTCGAGCGCGCGCGAGTGGCGTTCCAAGCTGCGGGGCGCTACCACCCCCCCTCGCCGAACGGTCCTCGATCGCGCGCCAAGCAATCGAGCGGGCTCGATCCTCCATCCTGGGATTGAGGGCCCGAGAGCTTGAGTCCGAGTTCCTTCGAGCACCTTGGGTCCTAGATCTGAGGATCGCCAGGCTTGGGCTCGAAGATCTCGGGCTCGCGATCCGTGGATCGAGGACCGAGCCTCGGCGATCGTCGATCGTCACCGTCGCCGTCGTCGGGCCCAGGCCGTCATCAATGAGGCTCGATCCTCGGATCGAGGATCCGAGATCTTGAGCCCAGGCAGCCTTGAGCGCCTTGGGATCTAGATCCGAGAATCGCCACGCTTGGACTCGAAGATCTCGGGTTCGCGATCGAGAACCGAGGATCGAGCCTCGGTTGCCGTCGATCTCCTTCGTCGCCGTCCTCGGGCCCAGACTGCCATCAAGCAAACTCGATCCTTCATCTTCGGATCGAGGATCCGACATCTTGGTCTTGAGCACCCGCGAGCACCTCGGATCCTAGATCCGAGGATCGCCAAGCTTGAACTCGAGGATCCTGGGTCCTCGATCCGAGGATCGAGCCTCGACGCCTGGCGGTCGCGCGCGCGCAGAAACCCGCGCGCGCAAACACTAACGCGCGCACGCGCGCGCACGCACGCGCGCGCGCACTGGCACACTCGCACATGCACACAATCTCACGCACTAACACACGCGCGCGCGCTCACGCACTCACACACACACGCACACACAAACAACAGCAGCCACAACAGCAACAGCATAACAACAGCAACAGCAGGCCACAACAGCAACAAGACAAACAACAGCAGCACAAGCAACAGCTGCCACAACGGCGCAGGCCAAGCCCACCGCATCGCCGATGCATCGGCGGGGCCCACCGATGCATCGCCGAGGTGGCGCAAGCAATGTGGTGCAATGAGCGCATGCCCTGTAGTGCAAGCGCTGTTCGGGTCATGCCCACTGAGGGCGCAACGCTTTCCATGGCCCATCTAGGATCGAGCATTCCAAGCTCCCTTTTCCGCTCCGGCAACGAGGGTGGCCGAGTCGGGCGCCGACGATCGTCGGCCTTTCGCCGAGCGGTCGCACGGCGAGTGCGTCGTCTCGCCGACGTTCCTCGTCGAGCAAAGGCAGGGCGACGAGCGGGCGCCAGAGGGCGCGCAGAGAGAACTTCGAGGAGGTGAAGACCGAGGGCGGCATCGAGCAGCGCGAGGAGAAACGACCAGCCGCGCTGGAGGAGGACCAGCGACGCGAAGCTCGAGGACAAGAAGGTCAAGCTCGAGGTCAAGCTGGAGGACAGGAGTGTCGAGCTGGAGGTCTAGCTGGAGGACAACAAAGTCAAGCTGGAGGACAAGAAGGACTCCTGCAAGCTCGAGGACAAGAAGCTTCATAACGACGGCATGCTCGAGGGCAACGCGCACTTCGAGAACACTCTCTCGGACAAGAAGCTCAAGCTGGACTCCTGCAAGGTCGAGCCCGAGAAGAAGCGCTGCCGCCTTTGCAGGCCCTCGAGATGCCTTGCACTCGGTGCCGGGCCCTGCCTCGCCTCCAGCCTCGGGTCCTGACTCAGCCTTGAGGCGCCTCGCGAGCCGCTGGGAGCACTGAGCGAGGTGTCTTCGGGCAGAGTGAGGACGAGGTGCTAGGGGCTCTCAGCGAGGTGGCCGCCGGCCTCGAGGACGCCAAAAAAACATGTGATAAGGGCTAGAGCAACAGAGCCGACGACAGCAATAACAACAAGCACGCGCAAGCAGCACGACGTGCGCAAGCAACGGCAGCAACAACACGCACAACAGCAAATGCAACCAGCAAAACAACGGCACCACCAACAACGGCAGAAGCAACAGCAAACGCAACGGCAGCACCAGCAACCAGCGCAACAGCAAGCCACGACAGCAACAAGACAAGCAAAAACAACACGCGAGCAACAAGAAGCTACCAACGACAAGCTAACAGCATAAGGCTGACAACCAGAAGGCAACGACAAGCAACGAAAAAGGACAAGCCAACAACGGCCAGAAGCCTACAACTTTCGGTAGCCACGTTGGCTCGAGGATTTGTGCTTCGAGCCAATGCAGCTTTGCAACGAGCCTCCGATGACCGCGCCGACGAAGCAGACGAGCTTGTCGAGCCTCTGGGGTCTGGTGAGCTCGCCTTCCTCATCCATATTTCGCGGGTCGACTGCGCTGCGGCTTGCCCCCCCCCCCCCCCCCTTCAGGCGCGAGTCGCGGCCGCGGCCGCGCGCCGAGAGCTTGCGAGCGCCGAGGGCCAGGCCCCCGCCCCGGGCGATCTCGGCCGATGCGTGAAGCGAGGCTTCGGCAAGGGCGGCAGACCCCAGGGCAATCTGGCGGAGTGCAAGGGGGCGCGCAAACCCCGAGCTGCGCCCGCGCTGCGACGAGGCCCGCCGTCGCAGTCCAAGCTCCAGATCCTGCTCGACTGGAGCAAGCACGCGGGCGACCACGGCGCGGGGAAGCTCGCCTTCCTGTCCAGCGCCGCGGGGGCCAAGCTGCAGAACAAGTGGCACTGGAACCGCGAGACGGTTGCCCGATGGCGCGGCCTTCGAGCTGCCGAGCTGCTCTCGAGAAGAGGGTTGCCGCGGGGGGGCGCGGCAAAAACAGCCTCCGAGCCCGCAGGTTTGTCCGCCCGAGCCGCCGCGAGCACAAGAGCGAGGGCTCCAGGCTGTCCCGCGAC